AACAAACAAACAAAAAAAACCAAAAAAAAACTGCAGGAGAATAAACAAACGGAGGCCATGTGATCAGGATTTTCTGTAAAAATATCTCCTGAAGAGCTCTACATTGGCTATGTGGGCCACTTCAAACCTGCAGAAGAGAATGCAGGGCCGAGTGGAAAGGATATGGGTGGGATGGGAGATGAGATTCCCTGTTGCCTACAAGTTCTTTCTTGTTCACCTGGAGATAGCACCCGTGCCACCATGTTACTGGGCTTGTGCCTTCTATTCCTTCCTTTGCATTTTTCTCTTTTTCCTTCTAGCAAATTTATTTCATTTTACTCCTCTCAATACTGTCTTCATGTTTATTTTAAGTAACACTTTTTTTTCCTGAAATTCTTTCCATTGCTGTCCAAAACAGAGAGCAAATATGAGTGACTGGAATATTTTAAAAGGATAAATAACGTCATTGATGAGGAATGGCCGAGCCTGCCATGCTGAGGATGAGTAGGTAAGCAACTAGAATGCTAGGCAAGGGAGGGGGCAGTGAGAATAACATAAAGCCTCATGAAAGTGAGCTGAGGGGAACTCCTTGTCAACAATTAACACATAGATTTGCTTCACTAACAAGTTCACAATAGATTTAATTAAGCTGGAAATCAATTTCACACCGTACCCATATCATACTTTGAAACACTCCCACCAATTCTACTGTCGAGTCTGATCACTTCTTCACAAATGCAAAAAAGCTCAGACAAAATGGGTCTGAAATTTGTGCAGGTAGCTTTGAGTATTTCTTGCCTTTTTCAGAGGGAAAGAACAAGGTCAGATAATATTTAAAAATTGCGACTACGTCTTGCGTAAAGTAACAAAAGATCAACCTTCAAAATTAAAGAATAAAATCTCTGTTCTTCCCAGCCCAAACACTGGTCTCTATTTTGTCTTTGAATGTAATCTCTTTTTTTTCTTTAGTCAGGGCCTGCCCAGTTACACATAATGAAAGCACCTAGATGGAAGAGACTTCATAGTTTATTATTTTCTCCAAAGACATTACTACTATAAACTGCTTTCCGGTGATGTCATGATAAAAGGGGGAGAAATGGAGACAGACTTTGTTTGCACAGACTCTGATGAGTCCTCAAAGAAATATTTCCTATAAAGACAAGAAATTAGGGGAAACAAACATGTTAGCCAGAACAACTCTCAGGTAGAACATCATCATGTCCAAAAGGTTAAACTATGTAACTGTTTCTGCTAATTACTCTCTTCTGAGTGATTACGCTCTGAGTAAATAGCAGAAACAGTTATATAGTTTAAGTTCAGGGGTTTAAAAAGTGATGATGTTTTCACTCCATCAACTTTAAATTCTTCAATATGGCACTGAAGGTCTCCCAACTACCACCCATCCTCTCACTGGCCAGCCAAACCAACCTAACTTTTCATTATTCATTTAGGTTATTAACCTTTTCAGAGCCGAAATCCCCTTTTAGACTCTGATGAAAGTTATGGACTGTCCCACTTGAAAAAGGCACATGCACATAACATTTTATATATAGTTTCAGGGTTCATAGATCCCCCTAAACCTAAGCCCAAGGTTAGGGAGCCCTGTTCTAGACAGATAGCTAGATCTCCTTCTAACCCAAAACAAAGTTCTTGATTTCTTTGTACATGACAGTATCTTTGCTTGGATCAACCTTTCCTTTCAACCAGCCCACATCCTTTTGGTCCCTTAAAATTTACAAGGAATTCTACCATATATCTCAACTGACGTGCTGTAGGACCTTGCCAGCTGTTATGTGACAGCACTTTATATCTGTCTCTTGTGGTCATTGGATATGTTCCTTACCAACCTTTTCATCTGTGCATGGCTTAATTTCACCAATTAAACAGTATGTTCCTGGAAGGCAAGCACTAGATCCAGGCACTGTGAAGCTTCTCTTGCTCACCTCTGCAGCCTAGGCACCCAGCATGAGGTCTAACACATAGCAAAAACTTAATCATACCACATTTGTTGAAATGGTATCTGCGGTGTTTGTTTTCTTTTTGAATTTCCCTCAGAGCCTAGCATAATGTTATATTAATACCAACTGCCCCAAAAATGCATACTACAAAAAAATACAACTGACTTTTTTTCTAGAAAACTTGCAACATTTTTTTTCTATACATATATATATAGTCAATCTTTCTTTTTTCCTAATTGTAAAGTAAGATATGTTCAAGGTGAACTTAGGGATTAAAAAAATAAACAAAAAACCTCATATATCAAAAAAAAAAAAAAAAAAAACACTAGGAATCCCAATACCCGAAAATATAATCCCTGTTATTCTGAGGCAACGGAAGTTTTTTCTGTTTTTTTCCCTAGGCCCTGCATACACATATTGATAGTTTTTAAAAAGTCAAATAGATTTACACTATATATACAGTTCAGCAGTCTGCCTTTTTCATTTAGAAATGTACTGTTAACCTTTCCCTACATTGGGTAATACTTTTTCATCACATGATTTTGTAAAGGTTGTACAGTATTTCTCCTTATGAACATATTTGATTCAACTAACTAGTTTCCTATTATTTGACATTTAAGTGATTCAAATTCTTCACTATTATAAATAAGAACATCTCCATATAAATATTTCTATGGCTTCCTTGTGAATTATTCCTAGAAACAGCTGTAAAATACAAAGAGCTCCTACAGTGCGATTTTTTAAATCAAACTATTAGTAAAATTGGGCAAAGTATATGCCTCAGCAATTCACAAAAGAAAAAATCTAAATGTCCAATTAAATTACACAGTAGATATACAGTATTCAGGGTAAGGAAACTGAAAAGGAAGAAAGAGAGCAGAGGATATGTTGGCAAGCAGTGAGCTACCTAACACTAAGAGGCAGGATAGGCCAGTATTTGACAGCAGACGACAGGGCTCAAGTCACAGCCCCATCCTTACCAGCTCTCTAACTTTGGGAAAGTTACTGAACTTTCTCAGCTTCAATATCCCCATCTGAAAATGAGGACCATAATAATACTCACCTGATAGGGCTGCTGTGGGGCTTATGACATGGCCCACATGAAAACACTGTGCATAGCATAGTATCTGGAACACACCAAGAGTGCAACACTATTACTTAGTCATACTTTTTTTTTCCAAGCCTATCTTTAGAATGCTATGCTGAACATGCTATGATGATTAAAACAATAACCTATGATGATGCTATGCTTAGCTCTCAGAAAGAAACCTAACAAGTAGTAAAGTTGATAACTTTATATGCTATCCAACAAATCCTTTTGTAGTTATGGAAATATCCTTTGATCTGCACTGTCCAATATGGTAGGCAGTGGTCATATGTGGCTTCTGACTACTTGAAATGTGGCTAACACAACTGAGGAGCTGGATTTTATTTTATTTCACCTTAATTAATTTAAAGTTAAATAGCTACACATGGTTAGTGACTACGATATTGGGCATCATGGTTCTAGAAGGCAATACAGGAGTATCTATATAATTTCAAAGCACATACATCCTTTGTCCCATTTTTGATAGTCACTCCATAGCAACAGAAATACCATGAGGTAGGGAGGAGTGATTAATATATTAAGACTACCAAAAAAATGTGCTGATAATCAAAAAGAGAACATGTAAATCCATTTATGCAAAAGTACATATGGCTGTTTACATATGGGCAGAGAGATATGGAAGGATGCTCCCAAACACTAATAGTATTATCTCTAATGATAGGACTGTCAGGTAATTTTTACATAATTTGTTAACCCTTTTTTATAGTTTGAATTTTTTATGCCCAGAATTATTTACATAATCAGAAAAATAAAACATTAAAATATTTTCACTTTGGGAAAAAAAAAAGGGGGGGCATTAATGGATCAAAGGATAAGCTCACTTTTAAGGCCTTTTATATCTACCTAGCCAAATTGTCCTAATAAAAGGGTGTTCTAAATTCAGTTCCTCCCAACCAACAAACACCTCAAACATGCACATCCTTATTATCACCAAGCATTAAAATTGCTTTCACGTTTGCCAATTTAACAGGTGAAAAATTGTGTATCATTTTACTTTGAATTTCATTAATAGTGAAATTGTGTATTCATTCATTTGCTGGCTACTCGTCACTTCTTTTAGAAATATCATGTTCAGGTGAGGTGTGGTGACCCACACCTGTAATCCCAGCACTTTGGGAGGCTGAAGTGGGACGATTGCCTGGGCCCAGGAGTTCAAGACCAGCTTGGGCAACACAGAGAGACCCTGTCTAAACAAAAAAACACTTTTAAAAATAAAAGGAAATTTTAAAAAGAAATATATTCATATCCTTTGACCTTTTCAGTATTAGGGTATACATATTTCCTCTTACCTCAGAAAGTACTTAGATTTTATATAAATTCTATGTTACGGTTATTAAACCTGTCCTTTTATATATGTTGCAAATATTTTCCTTCTCTGCGATTTCCTTTACTTTGTATCTTTTTTTTCTTTTTTGAGACACGGTCTGGTTCTGTCTCCCAGGTTGGAGTATAGTGGCACAGTCATGGCTCACTAGAGCCTCAATCTCCAAGGCTGAAGCAATCCTCCTGCCTCAGCCTCCTGAGTAGCTGGGACTGCAGGCACATGCCACCATGCCCTACTAATTTTTAAATTTTTGTTTAGTAGTGACAGGGTCTCGCTATGTTGCCCAGGCTGTTCTTCAACTTTTGAGATCAAGAGATCCTCTTGCTTCTGCCTTCCAAAGTGTTGGGATTATAGGCATAAGCCACTGCATCTGGCCATGATACTTTGTATCTTATCTTTTTAAACATGTGGATGTTTTCAAAGAATTTCTAGACCTCTCTGGCTTTGAAATTTTTGTCTCTCAATTGTATTATAAACACCTAGGGATGTGATTCCATAGTTTACCTCCTCCTACACAAGACTAAGGAGGCAGCTGCTTCTTGGGTTTTGGCATATACATGTTTCTTCAAGGTGTTAAAGGGAAAAAAGTACTTGTTAGGAGGGCTACATGTCACTAGGCAATAGGAACTTTTCAGCTCCGTTATAATCCTATAGGACCACCGCTGTATATGTGGTCCTATAGATTATAACGGAGCTGAAAAGTGCTAGCGAGCTTCTTAACTGGGATAACAGTTTGTTTGTAAACGTATGCAAATGTATTTACTTGTGCTAGCCCAAGGTCAACCTAAAAGGTGGCAAAAAGGTTTAGCCCAGAAGTCTACATAGAGACTAGTGTTGTCTACCTCCATACCACCCTGAACGTCCCCCAATCTCGGACGCTGAGCAGGGTCAGGTCTGGTTAGTACTTGGATGGGACAATAGGGCTAAGGTGAGTAGATTTAATGCTCCAGAATAACGACCTTTACAGACAGGTCATTATGTGGCGCGTGGCTGTATGCACAGTTATTAAAATGTAAATATACATATTTGCAAACAAACTATTTTCCCAGTTAAGAAGCTCGCTAGCACACACCATTCTGTTGAAAGCCCCCTTTACTCCGCAGACCTGAAGGGAGTGAGGGAAGGACGTAAAAGGGCAGAGGAAAGAATGAATGAATGCGAGACACCGATTCTACAGGGATTTGTTTCCATACTGCTCTCTACCAGAAACGTTCTCAGTTTCCTTCCTTCTGCTGGACATGGTCCAGGGGCCAAAACCTCAAATAATGTGATTTTGTAGATTGGAGAGTGTGACCACAGAAAGGAAAGGGAGGCAGCACGTGCCAGCCAGCGACAGAATGCTAAGTCTGCAGCATACTCCACCCCAATGAAACAAATAATTTCTGTATTTCCTCCCTTTCCTTCGCCCATAGTCACTGTGAGAATGGGCTACAGAAAGTTTCGAGGCAGTAAAGCCAGTAGTTCACCCAGAACATCTGACTGCCATAAAAATTATGGTGACGAGAAAGAACGTTTGCTCAAATGCCGTGGTTGGGGTGAGGGCTGGAGAAAGGTCCCACCCCGCAGCATTCACCTCCCGGGCTCCTCACCATGTGCATTGCCTCCTCCATCCACTTTTCGGTCTCTTCTGCCGACACCGAGCACGCGCCGCCTGCAGCTGACTTGGGCGCCGCCTTCGCCTCCATACCCGGCCACCACTCAGCGCCAAAGGCCGCCGCGGAGGAGGAGCGCGGGCAGCGGAACGCGGCGGGCCCGGGCCCCCGTTTCCGGGGGAGTCGAATGGAAAGGCACTCGGGAGCGATTTCTGAACGGACCTGGGCGTGTCGGACCAGTGAGCAGCGGCGGCTGCGCCGCGGCAGCCGCAGAAAGCGCAGCTGCTTTGCTCTAGTCCACGCCCCCTTGCCGCTCCGGTGACAGTCTGCGGAAAGCCACGTTTGTGATTTCGGGAGAGCGCAGAGCGGGACGGCGGCGCTCTTGCTTGGTCATCTGGGCCAGGTGACGAAGAAACAGTTTCCCGGTGAAGCAGCCCCTCACTCATAGTCAGCGCACACCCCTAGGGCCTAAAGATGCTGAGGTCCGTATGGAATTTTCTGAAACGCCACAAAAAGAAATGCATCTTCCTGGGCACGGTCCTTGGAGGTGGGTGACAACGTTCTTGAAAGTGGGCATTGGGAGAAGGGAGTGGGAGAGGTGACTTTTTCTAAAATAAGAACAGGCCGGGGCGAACCTAGTCTGGGATCTGTAGAGGGGATTCGATCAACCATGGGATGGAAAGGGAGGTGGCCAACCTCAAGGGTTCTCCCATCTCTGCAGTTGAGAAATGCCTCTGTGCCCTTTGCCCTGTCACCGCCTCTTAACTGTTTCTCACCTATCCTTTTTTCTCACGGACCTTTGGAGAATTCAGTACAGTTTAAGTTTCTGTTACAGGAACTTTTTTTAAAAAATTCTGCTTTCCTGTGAGATTCTTCATTTCTCCTTGGCACTCTTGGCACTATGGCTCTCACCCTTCTCAGGAGTTTAATAATAATCTAGGGGAGGTGGTTTAATAATAAATGATAAATAAATAAATAATAATAAACTCTCAGGAGTTTAATAATAATCTAGGGGAGGGAGTTTAATAATAATCTAGGTGGTGGTTAAAGTCGATTTGAATTTTTGAAAACAGCGCAGTTGTCCTGAAGGACTGAAAGAGATGGATTAGATAAAGAAAAACAAATCAATATTTTAGCTCTGTTTCTGCCATTTTAGAATACAAACTGTGGCAGTAAGAAAAATGCTTGAGGGATGTTGCGCAGTCTTCCTCAGGATCTTCAAGGTTGGGATCATTGTAATCTAACTGACATAGCTGAGTTGCACGGGCCCAGAGGAGATTTAGAAACAGATAAGATAAAAATCTTGAGACCCTTTTCCCTCATACAATGCTCATGTGATAATATTCAGGGATTTGAAGGAGGGAATAAAAAGCTTTGTGAATTATATGAAAAGAACATCTAGGAACTTTAAAAGAGGAAATTTGTTGTAACTTGAGTTTTTGAGAAATATTCTTATCACTTATTATGTGCTGTGTTTACAGAAGTACTTAAAGAACAGAGGTTCCCAAAGAATTTGGTTGGCTTTTCTCTTAGTATTAGATTGTATTCTGTTCTCCCCAAACAATTTGAAATTAACAATACATATTAGATTGTATTCTGTTCTCCCCAAACAATTTGAAATTAACAATACTTATTAGATTGTATTCTGTTCTCCCCAAACAATTTGCAATTAACAATACCTTTAGCATCAATAGTTCAGATTTTGGTGATGCTTCAAAGTTTGAAACAGAGTTCTTGTTGCTGAGCCAAGGATGGTGTTTGCATGCCTCTGACATCTATCACAGATCAATAATAAGCGTGTAAATTTTGAACATCTTTGAGAAATCCTTTATATATAAAAGGTATTTTCTGATATCTTCATTCTCTAGTATCTAATGTATATTTAAATTATCCTAAGACTACCGAGTCCATTTTATTTATAAAAGCTAAAAATAGATGTGTGATTGAAGCAATACAAATAAAGTATTTTTGCCTTTACCGAAGGAAGGAAAATTATCTCTAACAATCTCAGAAGGAATACTCCTTCAGCTTATGGAACAACCTTGTGGTAAATTAGAAATAATCACAGGGGAAGCAAAAGAGTAGACTTAAAAGAAATTTATAATTAAAAAAAAAAAATCTAACAAGAGCCTTATAGTTACAGAATAAGAGGAATGCAAAAAAAGAAAAGTTTAGACGGATAGAAAGAGAAAATAATCCTAGTGTTTTATATCAATAAAGGAGTCAGTCTGAAAAGAAAGGAAGAGTAGATGACCATGGTTGGCATTTGTTTGAGCCTCGTATTCTTTCTGCTTCAGGGAGAAAGTTCTACAGTATGTTAGATTTTAATTAATCTGACTTAAGAAATATTTATCAAGTACCTGTAGTGCTGAAAGTAATATGTATGGAAATACAAGATTTATAGATTTTTAATAGTAACAGCTACTATTTATTGGGAGCCCACTTTACACTGGGCATTGTGCTAAGCTCTTCCTATTTAGGCAGAATGACAAGAAGGCAGTTATTATTATCCCCATTCAAAAATGTGGCAACAAGAGCCCTAAGAATTTAAGAAACTTGCCTCAGGTCTCAGAATTAGTGAAGGGAAACTGGAATTCAAACCCAGGTGTGTTGGACCCCAAAGCACATTCTCTTTCCACATTATATCACTGTGCTTCCATGGTCTTTATGGTCTGATAGGAAGGAAAAGCAAGTATACATGTAATTAAGATACAGAAAAACAAGAGAGGTGAAAAAATGCTGTACAGATCACACTGGCAAGTAGCATATACAGTTGTGAAAAATCAGGAAGAATTTCATGGAAAAAGAGACACATTTTGACAGGCTCGAAAGCTGGACAGTATATCAACAGGATGCTTGGAGAAGTTTGGTCATTCAATCGTGGGGGAAATAAGTAAGTAAAACCTTCAGTAGCAGGCCTTCTTAAGTAACAATTTCTGTTTCCTTGAATTTTAGATGGGTAACTAATTGGTTTACACCAGTTTGTATAATTTGACCAGTTTGGGGTGTTTGGGTGTGTTCGGTTTTTGTTTTTGTTTTTGTTTTTTTTTCAGACAGGGTCTTGCTCTTTACCCAAGCTAAAATACAGTGGTGTGATCATAGCTCACTACAGCCTTGATTTCTCCTTTGCTAGCTTTACAATGTAAGGCAAGTAGAAAGGCTTCCTTATGAAGATTTGCCTGACACCTTCACACTTTCCTCACTCATGTGATCCTCTCACCTCAGCCTCCCAAGTAGCTAGGACTACAGGTGTACACCATCAGGCTTGGCTAATTTTTAATTACTTTGTAGAGATGGGGGTCTCACTACATTGCTCAGACTGGTCTTGAACTCCAGGCTTCAAGCAGTCGTCCTGCCTCAGCCTCCTAAAGCGCTGGAATTACAGGCCTGAGCCACTGAGCCTGGCATAATTTGACCAGTTTGTGAAAAGGCTAGAGAATTGACTCCCAAACTTTTTGGTCTAAGGTCTCCTTTATACTCTGGAAAATTAAGGACCCTCAAAATCTTTCTAAATTTTATATCTATTAATAGTTATGATATTCAAAATGAAAATGAAAATTTAAATATTAATTCATTTTTTAAAAACCTATTACATATTAACATAAATAACATTTTCAAAAAATTAATGAGTGTCATTGTTTCACATTTTGAAAATCTTTTTAATGTTTGACTTAATTGAAGAAAGCTAGATTCTCATCTCTTTCTATATTCTGTCAGTTGTGATATCACACAGCATGTAACCTCTGAATTACTCCACTGTATACTCATGAGAGAGTATGAGTATGAGAGAGAACGAGAATGAAAAAGGCAAATAACATTTTAGTATTATTACAAAAACAGTTCTGATTTTATAGACCCCCTGAAATGGTCTTAAAGACCCCAGGGGTGCCCTTGCCACACTTTGAGAACCATTGCACTGGAAAAAGTATTGGAGAACAGAGAGCAACCAGATTCATATTTATTGACTTGCTGGTTTCTAAAAAACTCAGAATATTGACTTGGATTTATACCTTAAATCCTGTAATCTCTGGCCTCTTCACATTTTTTATTCGTTTATTCATTCATTCATTCTGTCATTGAACAAACATTTGAATGAGAGTAAGTGCCTGTTCTCACTGTACTTTACTCTGGAAATACAAAGGAGTAAGACAGATCCTGACTTAGAACTCATGGCACAGAAATGGAAATAAACAAAAGTAGTATGATAGTATAGTATGAAAATAGAGCAGGGTCTTGTGGGAGCATAGAGGAGAAGAAAGTGTGAAGATGTCAGGCAAAGCTTCATAAGGAAGAATTTCTACTTAAGTTTTAAAACTAGCAAAGGAGAAAGGACACAGCAAGAAAAAGAGCTATTCAAGAGGTTCAGCAACATTGCTTTTATGAATGAAACTATATTTCACTATGGCTGTGCAAATGAGAAGTGGCAAAAGATTAACTTGGAAAAGCAACTAGAGTACAGATTGTGAAGGGCCTTATGAAGCCATTCTACATAATTTGGATATTATCCTTTGTATTGGTGCTTCCTGGAGTTTAGTATGGATTAAAAAAATCACTTAAGGAGTTTAATAAAACGTAGGATCCTTTATTCCAGATTCTGATTCTTTCGGTTTAGAATGCAATTCAAGAATTCCTTAATTCAGCAAATATTTATTGAATTCTGACTGAATCCCAGTCAGAGTTTATGTACTGGGGGTGCAGCATCATGCAAAATAAGACATTTGGGGGTATTTTCAAGGAGTGTCCTTTAAGGCTACATTTTAAATTGTCCCAAGTAATTCTGATGTGAGTGGAACAGGAAAACCACATTAAGAAATGATGGCAAGATGCTGAAGGATTCTAAAAGCATGAGTGATATAATCAGATTTATGTTTTAAAAAAATCACTTTGCATGTATAAGATGGGCTAAACAGGTGTGTGACCAGAAACTGAAGAGTTAGGGAACTATTGAAGCAGTTCAAGAGCATTAATTTTTACGGTCTAAGTGAAGACACTGATAAAGAAGTTGTAGATAATTGGCAAGATTTAGAAAATATGTCTGAAATAGAATCAGAATACTGTAGTAGGATTTGGTGATCTGTTGGATTGGGAACAATGTTAATAGGTTATTTTCAAACTCTTTTTGAAATTATTAACCTTGTGAAATAGTTGCATTGTAGGGATTTTCATCCAGAAAGAGAATACTACGAGATGGTTTTAAAACAACTGACTTGTGGAAAGACTAGAAGTCTTATTTTACTAGTAATGTTATTAAAGGAAAACTCAAAGCATTTGACATTTATTTTTTAAGGTATTTAGTAAATATTTTCATTGTTAATATGTAAAATCATAGCTACAAAAGAAACATTAAAGCTCATATAATCCCAGTCTTTCATTTTATGAATGAAGAAATTTAGACACAGAGGGAGGAAGGGACTTTCTCAAAAGTCACCTAACTATTTGATACCAGAGCCGTCAATATCTCCTGTTTTCCAGGCTAGACTGTCAGTCAAGTATGTAAATAGTCATGAGTGCCATGTTTTAGCTAATGAATTACCTGTCCTCATTCTTATTTTTCTAGGGGAACAAATCTGACAAAATCAGAATTTATGAGCCTAGGTGAATTAGACCTTGTATAAGAACTTAGTTCAGTGCTAAACTCAAGAAAAATAATGGATTGTGTGATTGTAGCCTCATTTCAAAGTACCACAAAATGAGTGGCTTAAGCAACCGAAATTTATTATCTTACAATCCTGAAGTTTAGAAGTCTAAGATCAGGATTGGTTCCTTCTGCAGAGTATAAGGGAAAGATCTATTCTAACCCTCTCACCATGGCTCATGGATGGTCATCTCCTCTGTTTTTGCTTCGTCTTCCCTCTGCAATTGTTGATGTCCAAGTTTCCTTTTATAAGGACAACAGTCTTGTTGAATTAGGACCCATCCTAATGACCTCATTTTAACTTGATTACCACTGTAAAGATTCTATTTCCAAATAAGGTCACATTCTGACGTGTTGGGGCTTCAACATATGAATTTGGGGGTTAACACAATTCAACCCATAACAATTCATTTTCTTTTTTAGTTTAGTTAGAATATCGAAGTGTGGCTAACTAACCACTCTATAATGTTCACATTCTCATTTCACATTCAGGAAAATTTCACACAGGAAAACTGACTTCCCCTCATATATAGACCAAAATGTACACACTTATATCATACTGCCTATGCTGAAATGTGTTAAATAACAGTTCCTTAAAAAAATTATCAGATTTGTTGAGACTCTCATTAAAGCAGTGGACCTTCTCCCCAGAAAAACACATCAATCAAATTTACTATTATTGAAGAAAAAAATTCTTACCTGTGGAAAAAGTGTCATCTTAGTGTTTGATTTTACAGTATAATTTGAGATATAATCATTTTACATGTAACTTTCAGTAAGCTGTTGTGCAGATAAGATACAAACAATTCCTTCAGATCTATTATGTCAGAGTTGCCTGTCATAGAGTAACTTTTTGAAATATAAGTCAATTTCCTTTGTTGGTATTGTCGCACTATCATCAGTTTCTTTAGAATGGAGTACAGGAAAGGTAGCCATGAAGGCACTTAATACGAACTCTCATTTCTTCTTTAAGCTTGGTTATAATACATTAATTTGCATATAAATATAGCAACAACAATCATACTGTAGTTCTAATTGTTTTTAGCACATACCCTTTTACTGAACTACTATTTTTAAGAATATGTAATATCTTATCAGTTCACCTATAACACCTGTATTAGTGAAAATAAATTGAGGATATGTATCTGCTTTGCAGTTCACTTTCTACCTGTGACAAACCAAATCTAATTACTTAGGTCATGCACAATTCTTAGGTTATTTTTAGTAGATACTGGAGGTCACAGGCAGTGGGAGGTAAGTGAGCATTACTTAATTCCTTACAACCTTGCTCTCAGGTTATAATGAAACCAAGTTCTGGCACACTTAAAAACATCTACTGGCAAACAGAGATGAAAAGTTAACACAACCTGTTCTGTAAGCTTGTTGAAGTCCCAGTGTTCTGTCCTTGTTTCATGCTACCACAGAACTGCTTATACAAGATCTACCTGAAGAAAATGCAACAGTATTCTAGCTGTAGGATTCGGTTGGCTACCTGGTTAACTCACTTGACTAAGAATCCTTTGAACTAGCAACTAAGGATCTCAGGCAAAGGTGAAGGACTTGCTGGATTCGTATATTCTGGTTCATATGAATATGACTAAACTGTTTTAGCTAGTCCAGTATCTTGAAAACCATTAATTTAATCTATGAAAATCCATTCCTGATACTCATTATGCTAATTAAAAGATATTTGGTGCTGATCGGTGATAAAAGCTAGTTGAAGAGCTTAACTTGGAATGTGGCGTTTGATCAAGTGTGGCTAACTAACCACTCTGGAATGTTCACATTCCCAGCTAGGAAAACTGACTGCCCCTCAGATATAGACCAAAATGTACACACTTATATCATACTGCCTATGCTGAAATCTGTTAAATTACAGGCCGCATGACACTACCTATATTCTTATCCTGTGGTGTTACAATTTAGGAATTTCTGTACCCTCTTTCCTCTTTTTTTTCCAATCAAGTTACAAATTTTTAGATGAGTTATATTTCCTATCCTTATCTCAAAGAGGTTTTTCTAACACATGGATGGATAGACTTCTACCTAACTACCTTTCTTTCATTGTTCCTTTTAAAAATTTTCTTATATTTTTAAAATGTATTTTGTGTTAATTGAAGAAAATACAGAGGACAAAATGACCTATTATCCCACCATTCAGCAATGATCATTGCTTATTATATTTTAGAAATTAAAACTCACCTATTTTTTGTATGTGTTTCCGTCAAAAAAAAGTAAAAACTTCTGGGATCTTATTTTATCACCTAACAATGTAACGTGGATATTTCCTTGAGTCATTATTTATTTAGCAATGTGGTTTTTAATACCTGCATAAGATTTCATTGTATGACTAGACTATCATTTATTTAAACAATTCTCCATTGCTGGACATTTAGAATATCTCTAGTCTACTAGTAAAGGCACTGCCAGACTTTTTAGATTTAATTCCTTTCCCTTCTTCAAACCTAGTCCTTATGTGCCCATCATTTCCTCTGTCATTGACTATAAAAATGCTGATTTCTCAACTAGGTCATGTGCAATTCTCATAATCACTTCATTCTTTATAATCATAGTTGATGACCAGTAATATGCTTTAGGACACTGTTCATATGGTGAAACTGATGAGAATATGACACTTTTGATTATTAAACTAGTAAAAATTTAAAAAAAAAATTTTTTAAATGCTGATTTCCTTTTCTTTGGGCCAGTCTTACACAATTCTTTATTTAGGTTTTAAAATGTTGTAATTTTAGGTATCCACTAATGTAAAACTTATAATTGGAAAAAGTAGGTTAAAAATACTGTGTAGACTTTTTGGTACTCTAATTAATATAGTACTTTTTTTAATGATTGTAGGAGTATATATTCTGGGGAAATATGGGCAGAAGAAAATCAGAGAAATACAGGAAAGGGAGGCTGCAGAATACATTGCCCAAGCGCGACGACAATATCATTTTGAAAGTAACCAGAGGACTTGCAATATGACAGGTGAGACAGAGAAATATTTATACATGGGTAAAGTTGTTTGATGATTTGTATTAATTTGCATATCACCAGGATCAAATTTAGAGGAAAAGGCAAAGAAAGGATGATAAATCTAGCAAGTATTTGAATGATTTAACTGTATTACATCATTTTAATATGAATTTTAAAAATCAGTTCATTCATTTTATTTAGCAAATACTAAATTCATTTAGCAAATGCTTGTATCCAGGCCTGGGGAAGCAGGAAGTGAGCAACAACAACAAAAAGCCCCTGACGTTTGGAGTTTATATTCTAGGGAGAGGAAAAGATGATAAACAACAAATAAGTAACTTTAGGCAGTGATGGCTGCCAGGTGGAACATAAAGCCATGTGAGGACTGAGAAGTTCTGTAAGACAGGGGATCAGTACAGTCAGGTTTCTTTGAGGTAACATTTGAGCAGAAACCAAATGTTACAATGGAGGGAGCCATGCAAAATGCTTGAGGCAGGAACAAGCTTGGTATTTTCAGGACACAGCAAAAACGCCATGTAGCTAGAGCAGAATGAAAATGGCAGTGATAGGAAAAAGGCTGCAGAAGTAGGCTTGATCCCACTGGGCATATGGGCCATAGGAAAGAGTCATTACGTTTATTAAATTTACAGTAGGCAACAATAGACCTGTGAGTCAGCTCCAGTAGTATACACTCAGGCAATGTTAATTAATGGCAATAATTTAACCTCCACAGCTAGAAACATAGTCCTGGGTGAATGCATCACAAAATCAACCTGCGCATATAGTGTCTTCTAACTGGCATAACTGTTGAAGAACTAGTTCTCAAATCCATGCAAAGCCTGTTTTTCTTTTTTATTGTTTAAGGCTTATTCATTTCTCTAACATTCTTTCAAGAACAATTAATTTAGAAAGAATTTATAAAGGTACATTCTCCTTATTTAATTTTAAAAGTAGAAATTTTTTAGCATTAAAGGCCTCTATTATTAGTTTACTTACCTCATTTTACTTGAGGCTGAGACTAAGAAGGGTAAGAGACACATTCAAAATTACAACTAGAGTATGATTTTTAGTATTTGAAGTAGTAATACTCAGAAAAATACCTTCATTCTGCAAAGCAAATAGTAATCATAAATACTATACATAACAATTCTGAGAGTAAAATGAATATTATAAAAGCCACTTCAAAAATGTTTTGTGAGGCCGTGATGAGGTAATGCCTATAAAGTGCTTGATGTATAATAAATACTCGGTAAATAATAACTTCTTAAAAATTATGAAATTATTTAAATTGACATTCACCCTTCAATGTATTGACACTGCCTAGGATATTTTAATGAATTTTTAGAGAATGGTCCATTTCTGGTTATTATTTGAATTTTCAAAAAATAGTAAAATGGGCTAGGCGCAGTGGCTCACGCCTGTAATCCAAGCACTTTGGGAGGCCGAGGCTGGTGGATCACCTGAGGTTAGGAATTTGAGACCAGCCTGACCAACATGGAGAAACCCCATCTCCACTAAAAAGACAAAATTAGCCGGGCGTGGTGGCACATGCCTGTAATCCCAGCTACTTGGGAGGCCGAGGCAGGAGAATTGCTTGAACCCGCTAGGTGGAAGTTGTGGTGAGCCAAGATCATGCCATTGCACTCCAGCCTGGGCAACAAGAGTGAGAAACTCCATCTCAAAAAGAAAAGTAAAATGTAGCTGCTGGGGTCTTAAAATACATCTCAGTTTGACATGGACCCTTGTGTCCATTTGGGTCCTCTGGGAAGCAGATGCTAGGATGGGATTAGATGTCCCAGAGGTCTACTAGTAGAAATGCCTGTAAAGAATAAAGAGTAAGGGAGGCAGAAGAAGACAGGTGAAGTGTTTAGGCCACAGTGCAGGTCTGACGCTTGTGCAGGGAAGAAGACAAGGAAGGAAGAAAGATTAGGCAAGAAGAGTCTCAGACTACAGCACAGTTCTAAGAAAGTGTTGGGAGACCAATGAGGAGTCTGCAAGCCACAGTTTCTGGTAGAGGAGACCTGCAGAAATGGGCCTGCTTTAGTGTCCCCGTCCAAGCAGTGTCATTGGCTGGGAGCAGTGCAAACATGGTAATGGATCCAAAGGAGTGGCAGCTGGGGTTGTCAATTAACTATGCTCCTCCAACAAAAGATAGGGGTCACACATTTCCATGACGCAACCCTAAGATGAACAAATAGCTGACTATAGGCAATTAAAAGTAAAATATTTGATCTCTACGAGCCAAAATATAGGTTCAATGAAAACTTTCCAAATTAGCTTTCTGCACGTTCTGCATTTTTTTGTACAATGCATAACATGAACATTGATAATGGGGTTACAAATAATATGATCAAATTTCTATTCTTTTGGATAAGACGTAATTGATATACTAGAAAAAAAATGAGTGCTTTGGGGTAAATATAACTAGTTTTCTTACCTAAGAAGTTTTTGCTTTTAGAATGCGGTGTTCATAGCCAGGTGTGGTGGCTCACACCTGTAATCCCAGCACTTTGGGAGGCCGAGGTGGGAGGAATGCTTGAGCCCAGAAGTTCAAGACAAGCTTGGGCAACATAGTGAGACCTCATCTGTACCAAAAATTTTAAAAATTAACTGGACATGGAGGCCCATGCCTCTAGTCCTAGCTACTCGGGAGTCTGAGGCAGGAGGATTGCTTGAGCCCAGGAGGTCAAGGCTGCAGTGAGCCATGATTGCACCACTGCACTCCAGCCTGGGTGACAGTGTGAGATTGTGTCTCAAAAAAAAAAAGAAGGAATGTGGTAGTCTTCATATTTTTTCATTTTGTTATCATTACTTATTTAGGATTTAGAAACTCATTTTACATTTTTATGTGTGTATTTCTCCATTTCTTTTTTTTCTCTGATCCCATGACAGATTCTTATTCTCCTACATTTCTTATTCCACATGCAGAGCCACAAATAAACTCCTAAAAATCACATGAAGTTTTTTTTCCCATAGATTGCTAGTCTCATTTCGTCTTCACATTATTCCTGGGAGTAACAAACAATAAACAGCAGCCACTGACAAAACTAAAACTCAGCAACTCTTAGTTTCTAACCTAGTGTACTTTTATCTATGTTATAATAAATGTTTATTGCTTTGTAGTATTACAAACAGTAAACATTTACAATAAACAGTAACAAATAATACCCACTGACAAACTAAAACTCAGCAACTCTTAGTTCCTAACCCAGTATGCTTTTGTCTAGGTTATAATAAATGTTTGTTGCCTTGTATTATTTAATAAATAAACTTTTTTTAAAATTAGAAATGAAAAATGAAGCAAAAGGTATAGCTGAATATAAAAATGTTTTTGATCATTGCCATTATATCAGAAGTAAACACATTGTAAAAAGTTTGAAGAGTATGGAAAAGAAAAAAAGGAATTGTTCATAATCCGTAGCTCAAAGACCACCACTGTTAAAATCTGAGAATAATTCTTTCTATTCTTTCTTCTGTGTGTACGTGTTTGTGTTGCTGTGATTGTAATGTTTATATAATTTTGTTAAATTACATTAGCAGATAAATGATTTGTTAGGATATAATAGTTTTATAATAATAATAATAATTTGAATTGTCTAGCCCTGACTTTCCCTTGTGACTCTTTCTAGTTGCTAGCCCTATCATATAGCCTAAAACAATGTGTATTTCTTAGTGAGGGCAGTCATATCACTTGTGACCTTTTTTATTTTATTTTTTGTATTACAGTGCTGTCCATGCTTCCAACACTGAGAGAGGCCTTAATGCAGCAACTGAATTCCGAGAGTCTCACAGCTCTGCTAAAAAACAGGTAAATGCAAGTTACAGCATTTTCTGTTCATGCACTGCACTTAAAGTTTATAGAATGAACTGATATCCTTTTCAAATATCTTTGTTATTTTTCTGTCTAATTAAAGCTTATATAGGCTCAGTAAGAAAAATATTAACTACATCATTTAATCCATATTTAATTTTGTCTATGCTCTACTTTTTTGCACAAAGCATTCAAGGCAATGATATTTGTATGTATTGTTTTTCATATAAATAGACCTTATAGCACTTCAAAATTGTTCATAAATTTAATTATTGAAGTGCTTGTGAAATGTGTTCCTGAACTAGATGCTGTGAAACTAACAAAGTTATGTTAAATATCGTGCTTCTGAAAGAGCTTACAGTGTAATAAACCATGTGAACATACATTTTAAATGAGGTATACAGGACTTATATTTTAAATTACTAACAAAATGAAATACAAACATAACATGAGCATACAATACTAATAATTGACATTGCCATGGCAGTTTGCTGTTTCCAAAAGCACTTTCGCATATGTAACCTTGTATACTGCATGTTGCATGTGTTGGGTTATTGTAATTCAGTATGATACTGTATTAGTTTGAGAAGACTTCCAGCAGGAAATGTGTTCTTATTTTAATGACAATGATGGGAGGGTGGGCAGGGAAATGATTTCACTAAATAAATGTTAATCATTATAGCCTTCCTAAAATAATCACTTGCCTTTAATCACCCTCTAAATAGCCAGGGGAATAGTAGTTCTGTTTCTAAACTGTCTCACTGTGCTAGCCCTGGCGCTAGGTACCTTTCGTATATGCTCTCACTTAATTTACACAAATATCCCTGTGAGGCAGTTACTATTATTCATTTTGCAATAGGAATTGAGTGCTCAGACAGGCTACATAACAAGTGGGGAATTTTATTTAAAACACTTACTATAATTAGAGAATACTTCCCAAAATAACAATGGATTTGTGTACTTGAGATTTCTTGTATCTCATTAAAACAGAATGCTAGTAATGAGGGGTTTTCCGTTTTAAATTTCTTCATTCTTAGAGGTAGACAGACCTTCCTTCTTACAGATACAAGGTTTAGCTTATAAATTAGTTCATACAGTTTTATGAAGAAACATATAAGCAGATTGCTTTTGATCAAATAAATTATTACGTTTGTATGTACATAGGAATGAAAAGAAGTAGATTTTAATTTCCTTATATTTTGTCATGATGAGAAGGCAAGGCAAATTAAATCAGTGAATAGCATTTTTATGAAAGCAACATAATACAGATAAAATAATCATGATGGCATTCTTCCTTCTTGGTGAATCTGTTTCCTGCAAGGCCCTATGTTCCATGTGCTTTAAAAGGGGATTTAATAATTAAGATAAAGTCTCTTTAAGACCTTTTCATCCAAAGGAGGAAGTAGACTAAATAAATTATCATAATTCCAGACATACTTAGTGCAATAACAAAAAGTAAAAGGAAAATATAGGAGTATCAAAAAAACCAAGGATTAATTTTGATGGATAATCCTGGACAGCTTTAAAGAAAAGATGTAATTCTCTTTTTCTTTATCGGTACACAGGAGGAAAATTTCTTAAATTCTGGAGAATTTAAGATGGGCCACAGTTGTCCTCATTCACAGTTTCGTCTTTAAATATCTCAATGTTACTTTTTCTTGGCTTTCTTTTGATTTGAAATTACTATTTGTAATTTGGTGGGGGGAGAAGGGTAATATCCATTTGAAAAATATTTGCGTAAATAAGGGCTTGATCCCTTACAAAGTGTGATTAAATAAGGCCTCCAATCTTACGACTGCTTTTATATTAGTTTTATATGAGACTCTGGTCTCATATAAGCCTGTTGAGCAAGTTTTTTTTTTTTTTCCTTTAAACTATTTTTGATAATAACTAATCAGAAATGAGTAGATGATTTGGTAGTCTTATTCTGCGAACTTCACAATAGCAAATAAACAGTTATCACTGTTTTTGATATTTGGCGCTCTTGTTAAAGACTGATAATTGGCAATGAAGTTTCAATGCAAAAAAAAAAAATCGTAAACATCCTCCATCATAAGAGAAGTAGAACACTTTGAAAGGATTCGTTTAATTCTCTCTTTTTTTTTTTTTTATTTCTTCATGAAGGCCTAAAGTTTAAGAATTATTATGAATATTTTAGTGACATTAAAGAGTCTGGTTGTATTTAACTTGCAGTTGATTTCCATTAGACAAATCATTTGAAAGGAATATTTGCGTTGAAAGCACTTTTCTCTGTTCTTCTGCATAGATTTGGAATCTTTTATGTAGATTTTGGAGTTTTTTTTTAAAGTTAGTATTTAAAAATCTACTTTTAAGGTCTAATAACGTTCAGTGTAAACATGAAGAAATGTCCTGGGTAACTATAACTGTTTTCTCCCACCAAAATCATCCCAAATAAAATACAGTTTTTTGTTCGTTTGGTTTTGGGTTTTTTTTTAGACAGAGTCTTACTCTGTTGCCCAAGCTGAAGTACAGTGGCACAATCATGGCTCACTACTAAGCAGTTTCTATATTTAAATTTTCAGAATCACTGTTTTCTTATCTTTTTTCATTTAGAATTTTTATAAGAAGTACTTAGAAATTTTTCTGAGGGAACATTCAAAAAGAGATATGAGTTACTTATGATACATTAAATACCTCACCTTTGAATTGTGGTTGATTCCCAGTTTAATCAGAATACATATGACATTCTGCCATGAGTCTTGAACACTAGATTAGATTAAGGTTGAAGCAGTGTCTTGCATGAGTTACTCAACACATTTTCTTAACCTGTGCCATCTAGGAAAGAGGTAACTGAAACTATACAGTCTGCTCATTGGCAAAGAAAGACAAGAAGCTAGTAGTATCCTTACAATTGTAATAGTAACTCAATTTCTTCTTGCAATGCAAATTTAGGTCTGAAAATAATAATAAAGATTATGGACTTGTGTTTTTTATATCTATGGTTTTTTTATTTCATGTTTTCAAGTAATTTATTGTATTTAGCAAAAGCACTGGTCTGTGACAGATTGAAAAGGAAAAGGAAAAAAAAAAACTGATCATTCCACTAGTGGTTTGAAAAGCTCTAAACTACCTCCACATATGGTGTACTATCCTTTGGTTAGAAGAGGAAAATGGCTACCATTTTTATACAGTAGTCCCATCCACTTTATCCAAGGTTTGACTTTCCAAGGTTTCAGTTAGCCATGGTCAACCATGGTCTAAAAATATTTAATGGAAAATTCCAGAAATAAATGATTTTTAGGCTTTCAGTTGTGTGCCATTGTGAATAACATGATGAAATCTCCCTTTGTCCAGCAGATCCATGCTGTAGATGCTATCTACCTGTTAGTCACTTAGTATCCATCTTGGCCATCAGATTGGATGTTGAGGTATCACAGTGCTTGTGTTTAAGGAACCCTTATTTTACTTAATAATGGCCCCAAAGTGCCAGAGTAATTATGCTGGCATATTACGGTTGTGCTATTTTATTGTGAGTTGTTGTTATTTTTTACTGTGCCTAGTTTATAAATTAAACTTTATCATAGGTACATATGTATAGGATAAAACAGTATATGTAGGGGGTTGGTACTATCTTCAGTTTCAGGCATCTACTGAGGGTCTTGGAATGTATCCCCCAAGTTGATAAGAAAGGACTACTGTAGTACTGTGGAATGATCTCCACAAGATATATTGTTATATTTTTTAAAAGGTAAAGAAAAATGTGTATAATATGTTTCACTTATCTAAGGGGGCAGATATAAATGTATATATACGTATTTGCTTATATAAAACAAAACAATGGGAAGTTTAAGCATTTTTTTAAATAGTCACCTATGAAGAAGGGAGAAAATTAAGGGGGATAGGAACAGACTTTTTTGAATACACCGTATTATATAAATTTGATTTGGGAATCATATTAATATTATAAAACTACAGTGTTTAAAAAATAATGTCCAAAACTATATAGTACCATAAATCAAATTAACCTATATATGATTCAAGTTGGTGGTATAATTACAAAGATAGAAACTGTGCTAAATTACTTTGAAACAGAAATTTGACTGTATATCCTTAGTAGGCCATATACTCTTCACACACAAAGAATTGGAAAAACAGAAACCTTAAACTCTTTTACACTGAGACGGTTGTGAATAGAGTGAGGGATGAAGCAAATTAGTAATTATGTTGGTTTCACCTGTTTTTAGTGTGGACAAAAAGAAATACAAATGCAAAATCAATGAGATTAAGCTAAAAACCTTTTGACTAATTTTCTAAATTTTGACTAATTTAGAAATATCAGTATGAATTCATGATGTATATTACCTTTTTGATTATATGCATAAATAAATAAATAAACACTTATTTATTAGCTTAGTTCACTGGAAAAATCTTAGAAATAATGACCTACCCAGTAGCAATGAACATTCTTAACCAAAGGTTTTGGTCTCTGCCATTTCCTGCTATGAGAAAACAGGACCCAGTGAAATTGGTGATTTCAAGTCTCCAGCAAGAATGGAACGAGATGAACCCAGAACAAGTTTTCATGTCAGAAACGGTGGATTCTGTAAAAGACTAATAAAAGATCATATAAATCAAAAGGATTCAGGAGCCAATGTGAATAGTCTTCCAGAAGTGAAAGATGGCCAATTTGAACATTGATAGAGATAATAACTGCAGTGGATTGATACACATGAAATATATGTGTAAATTCATGTTTTTATGATCGTAAAACAAAAAAATACTTCATACTTACCTTTGAAGGATTATAGGACCTACTTCATTATTTCTAAAACAGCAAATTAGAGAAAGAAACATTTCCTCTGCTTTTCCTATGTGATTTTGTAATATATCTATACATAGCACTCAAGGAGAAAAAGATTGTAAGAACATATACCAGTGAAAGTGGTTATTGATTACTGGAATTACATTTTTTTTTTTTTTACTGTATTTCGTGGGTTTGCTTTTCTGCAGTTATGCTGTGTTGCTTTTAATTTTTTGAAATAAATATAGATCTATAAAATTCAGAGTTTTCTATTAGACTATCTAGATTATTATTTTTGTTTTTTTTTTTATTTTGTCCTTTAGGCCTTCAAACAAGCTAGAAATATGGGAGGATCTGAAGATAATAAGTAAGCCTGCATATTCTGTGTGACAGCACATCCTTAAAATATTTATAAAGGGAAATGCTTGCATTCTATTAGGATGACTCTCCTTTACCTGCCTTTTAGAATTGTTGTTAGTGTTAAATAATATAGTACAGATAAAGCAAGTAGATCAATGTCTGGACATAGAAAGCATTCAGTAAATGTTAGTGGTAGTGCTATTGTGATGATGATGATGATGATGATGATGGTAGGTAAAATTGTCCTAGACTACATATGCCTTTATTAGGTACTGATATCTCTAATGTACTTTAAAGGAAGTTTTTATTCCAATCCAGATCATAGATTTACTTTGATATTTATTGTAAACTTTTGTTAGTGATAAAAAATTGAAACAAAAAGCTAAACCAGGGCCTACGTATCTGCTTGTCTCAGAACTGTTATTCCTGTTTTCCCTTCCATTCAGCTAATCCTTGTCAGCAGAATGATGCTTAAGCCTTGCCTATTTGAAAACAAATTAAACCTCTCTAGTTGCCTATATTTCCTTTCAGCTTTTATTCCCTTTTTTTTTTTTTTTTTTTTTTTGAGACGGAGTCTTGCTCTATCGCCAGACTGAAGTGCAGTGGTACTATCTTGGCTCATTGCAATCTCTGCCTCCCGAGTTCAGGCAATTCTCCTGCCTCAGCCCCCCGAGTAGCTGGGACTACAGGTGTGCGCCACCATGCCCAGCTAATTTTTGCATTTTTAGTGGAGACGGGGTTTTACCATGTTGGCCAGGATGGTCTCAATCTCTTGACCTTGTGATCCGCCTGCCTCAGCCTCCCAAAGTGCTGGGATTACAGGCGTGAGCCACTGTTCCCGGCCTATTGTTTCTTATAATCCTTATGACCAAGATTTCTACATTCCCCTTCTTCTCTTCTTCACTCCCACTCATGCTTTGATGTACTACAGCCTGGCTTCCACCACTTGTGTCTCCACCCAAGCAGGTCTCTCAAGCGTCAGTAACAACTTCTGTGTTGCCAAATCTACTGGACATTTTCCTCCTGCTAGGACTCTCAGCAGCAGTCAACACCTTCACTCTCTCCTCTTTTTTGAACACCTGGTCCTAGGCTACTGGGAAGCCTGTCTTACCAAGCTTCCCCAGCCTTTCTGTACCTTCCTGTAGTCCTTAAACCCTTAAACAGGCTCATCCTCCTCGAGCTGCTATTGAAGGCTAGAGTTCTTCCACACTCAGCCCTCTTCTCTTACTTGAAAATAGCTCCACTGACAACTAAGAGTTCTGAAGCTGCAGTTCTTTGTGCTTCCCAGACTTTTCCTTGTTTTCCTTTCTAAGCTAATAATATATACCTCTTTCACCTAATATATTTTATTGGTCATTGTTTCAATTAAGGAATCATACCTAATTTTTATTAAACAACTTGTAAGGAGAGACTGAAATATTTTGAATTGATATATTTTTATACTAGAAACAACTGTAAATATGTTTTTAAAAGTCATCTTATGAAAAAATAACCATAGGGATGGTTCATGATTTTACACATTTGTATTAATCACAGTACCAAATGGTTTTCTTTTCTCTATGAAGGTTTCACAAGAAGTATCGTGGCTGTATACAGTACTTGTATGCTGGTTGTTCTTTTGCGGGTCCAGTTAAACATAATTGGTGGATATATTTACCTGGATAATGCAGCAGTTGGCAAAAATGGCACTGTAAGTTTAATAGACTTAAACAGACATTGTCCTTTCCCTCAAGCGGTTCAAAGTTTAGCTTATTTATCCTGGTAACAATTTCTGTGAAATAAATATTTTTATATTTCATGTGATTATGAACTTTTAGTATTATGAATAATTTTTATACTTTGAAACTAGAATTTTTGGTATGTTAAAAAATATTATTTTTCCTATCACTTCAGATCTTGAAAAATCTCACCTACAGTTATATTGAAAACATTACTTACCAGTTTAAAACTTGGATAATTTAACTGTATTTCTATTTTGTACAGACAATTCTTGCTCCCCCAGATGTCCAACAGCAATATTTATCAAGTATTCAACACCTCCTTGGAGATGGTAAGATTCTTATTTGTGACTTTTATACAAATTTTAATTCATTTATTTGTATTTTTGAGGAATTTTTAAGCAAGGCTTTTAGGTTTGTTTTTTCTTTAATAGGCCTGACAGAATTGATCACTGTCATTAAACAAGCTGTGCAGAAGATTTTAGGAAGGTAAGGCATTTTTCTTTGACTTTTCTGACTTCCTGATTCTGATGAATGAAAGAAAATTAGAATTGTTCTAGTGAAGCCAGTGACTTGACAAATGGTGATTTGTGAAACTCTTTGTAATCTAATCAGATACCTTCCTGGGATATTGTGTTATGAGATCCATTTTCTTTGTCAGAATCAACCTTTTTATACAGAGGGGAAAGTTTTAATATTTCATTGTTAATTGACTGATTTCATACAAATCAGAAATATCTGGGTCATGAGATAAAAGACCTACTTTAAAATCTGCCTCTGAGGCTTTTTCCTCCCACTTATACTAGTAATATCTATAATTACAGTAGGAATTCTCTTATGAAATCCAGAGAAATACTTTTCTTGGCTCTGTAGTAATGGCCCTTAACTGGTGGCTGATTTCTTAATCCATTCTATTCCAGTCAGCAGGTACAGGTGTGAGCAGAAGAAACAAGATTTTAGATAGTAGCCTGTTAAGAAACAAGTGTATGCAGGATGTGTTGTATAGTTTCGATTTATCCCAATTCCCTTTTCTCTGTTTCTAGTGTTTCTCTTAAACATTCTTTGTCCCTTTTGGACTTGGAGCAAAAACTAAAAGAAATCAGAAATCTCGTTGAGCAGCATAAGTCTTCTTCTTGGATTAATAAAGATGGATCCAAATCTTTATTATGCCATTATATGATGCCAGATGAAGAAACTCCATTAGCAGTGCAGGTGCTTAATTCATAACCATTTAACCAAACCAGTTACTCTATACTTTTAAAATTTTACTCTCTCTTGAAATTTTGATTTCTGAGTCTCTTGAAAGGTAAGTGATTGAAAGGTATATATTTCAATAATTGAAGTAAAACCCCGTAGAAAATAAATAGCCATTATGAGCAATTTCTAGTTAGAAGCACTTAACAATTTTAGCTACTTAGTACATTTTTATTATCAGGTATGTGACAGTACATACTGTGATGTATGCTGGGGATGTAAAATGAGTAAGGCATGTTTATTACACCTGGGGAACTGAAGATACAAATTCAATTAGTGGGCTACAGCGTATTTTTGTATCAGATCAAGTAGCAGAACATAGAGCTGAAGGTCAGGGCAAGATTATAAAGAGCTTTGTATGCCAAGATAAGTAGTCTGAACTCCAATTTGTAGACAAAGAAAGGTAGATTTTAACCAGTCCAGTAACACAACCACCTTTGCTTTTTAAAAAAGTTAATGATGAAAGTACAAAAATGGACTGAGGAGGTTATAGTCATCCACTTGAGAAACAACAAGATCTAATCCAAAAATTATCAACCATAGTGTTGCTAAACACTGGTGTGTCCTAGATAGTTGTTATATAAGTTATTCATTGATTAAGAATACTAAAAATGCCAGATTGCAGGTTATATGGCTCATTTCCTAAATTACTAGTTTTTCATTTGTCTGCTGGTTTGCACCCATTCTTTGTAATTGGGAGAACAGCTCGCTCTTGACAACTGGAAAAGCCTTAGAACAGAGAGGCCCCCTATGCCATACCTCATCGTAGAGGACCTGTTAGAACAGAATGCCTTGTTTACATTGCCTGCAGGAGTTCCCATTGCCTGCAGGATTTCCCATTCCCAGAGACCCCAAAGATGAACCTGTTTAGGTGCTGAGAGATCCTATATTCATGAGTAGGCCAAAAAAAATGTTGCATCCCATTTAAGGAAACCCTGTAACTTGAAAGATAGAGACTAAACTGATCAAACAGAACAGATGGAACAGAATTAATGAAACAGGAGACAGCTTACAAAATAGAATCTCAAGGAGATGCAATAAGAGTGTTAAAAAATCTTTTTAGGACTCTAAAGTAATTTACAGTTTTCAAAATTCAAAACAGGACCAAAAAGAAAACAATTCAAAAGAACAGATGAAGAGAGAAATAATGGACCAGATCTTACTGAACTGAATTAAAACCTGAAATTTAAGATTGAAAAGACACATAGAGTCTCAGACTAGATTGATGTAAAAAGACACACACACATATCCTGATAAAATCTCTTACTGATGAAAGAAAAAAACATAGGAGGTTGATGGGGAGGATCACTTGAGTCCAGGAGTTTGGGACCAGCCCGGGCAACATTGCGAGATCCTGTCTCTAAAAATTAAAAATTTAGGCCGGGCGCGGTGGCTCAAGCCTGTAATCCTAGCACTTTGGGAGGCCGAGATGGGCGGATCACGAGGTCAGGAGATCAAGACCAACCCGGTGAAACCTCGTCTCTACTAAAAAAATACAAAAAACTAGCCGGGCGAGATGGCGGGCGCCTGTAGTCCCAGCTACTCAGGAGGCTGAGGCAGGAGAATGGCGTAAACCCAGGAGGCGGAGCTTGCAGTGAGCTGAGATCCGGCCACTGCACTCCAGCCTGGGCCACAGAGCCAGACTCCATCTCAAAAAAAAAAAAAAAAAAATTTAAATTTAAAAATCAGCCAGATTGGCATAGTGGTGCACAGCTATAGTCCCAGCTACTCAGGAGGCTGAGGAGGGAGGAATTTTTAAGCTCAGGAGTTCGAGTCTGTGGTGTGCTTTGGTTGCACCATTGTACTCCAGACTGGGTAATGCCAGTCTGTCTCTTTAAAAAAAAAAAAAAATGCTTTGGGAGGCCAAGGCAAGAGGATGGCTTGAGGCCAGGAGTTCGAGACCAGCCTGGGAAACATAACAAGACACTACCCCTACAAAAAATAAATGAAAAATTAGCATGGTGGCGCGTGCCTGTAGCCTAACTGCTACTTAGGAAGCTGAGGCAGGAGGATCACTGGACCCCAGGAATTCAAGGTTACTTAAGCTATGATCATGCCACTGGACTCCAACCTGGATGACAGAGTGAGACCCTGTCTCAAAAAAATAATAATAATGAAATTCAGTTTTAAAAAGAACAAACCCAGACCTCTGCAAACCCAAAACCTATTTCTTCTTTGTCTAACTATACTAGAAATCTATCCAAGAAGGGCCAGATAAACAAAGATCTTACTAAGTGTAATTTACTTTTACTCATGTCTTAAATTCTACTTATTTGCGCACATAAACCATTACAGGTTTTTTTGGGGGGGAAGGGAGATCTAACATTTTTTATTGTTGATAGAACATAGACTTTTAGATTTCCTGAACTCTTTATTTTGTGAATGTGATTAGTTTCATCATAACCCCATGCTCATGTTTGAAAACCTGAAGTGTGACATTTTAATTCTATAGGCCTGTGGACTTTCTCCTCGAGACATTACCACTATTAAACTTCTCAATGAAACTAGAGACATGTTGGAAAGGTATGTATACTTCATGTAACAGGAAAAATATGTGTGTAAGTTGAATGTACTTGAGATCATTTTTTAGTTTTTCTTGAACAATATAGTCAGTATAATATGATATTAAAATTAAATTTTTGACTCTGTTTCCCAGCCTTTAGATAGGATTTCCTACTCAAACTGGAGGGAAGCAGGGATTTCTTAGGGTAACTCAGCTACTAACTCTACTATCTGAATTTATCGAGTTCCAGTCTTTTGTTTTTCTACAGTAGGAATGTCCACTTTTTTCTTATTCAGATTTCCACCACATCATTTCATGAATCTCTGGAGAAGGTCATCGGTGATCTTTTGCCATATCATTGTATAAATGAATGAATTACAATGCATCTGTAATGTTCATCTTGCTTGACCTTTCTCTGATACTTGACACTGCCTTTCTTGAAATTCTTTGCTCACATGACTTTCATGACAGTATAATCTGTATTTTTCTCCTACCTCTCAGATCATTTCTTAGATTCTTCTATCTCTGTCTTTCCTTTAAATATCAGTGTTTCCAACCTGGTGCAGTGACTCATGCCTGTAATCCCAGCACTTTGGGTGGCCAAGGTGGGTAGATTGCTTGGGCCTGGGAGTTCAGGACCAGCCTGGGTAACATGGCAGAAACCCCATCTTAGACAAAAGAAAAAAAAATTAGCCAGGCACGGTGGTGCACACGTGTGGTTCCAGTTAACTCGGGAGGCTGAGGTAGAAGGATCACCTGAGCTCTGGCAGGTTGAGGCTATGGTGAGCCGTAATTGTGCCACTGTACTCCAGCCTGGGCAACAGAGTAAGATCCTGTCTCAAACAAACAAAACAAAAAAAGCCATCAGTGTTTCCCAGGTATTTGTTCTTACTTCATTGGCAACTGCCTCCCAGGCAATGATTTATACTCCCATTACTTTACTATGCTAGCAGTTATAGGCAAATGTATTGCCCTAGTCCTCCACCCTCAGGAGCTTGTTTGGATTGAAATTTCTACATTTCATAGATAGAAATAATTTGTTCATTCAGTTAATTCATTTATTTCATTGAATTATTCATTAACTATGTATTGGCTGTCTGTGGTATATTAGGTACTATTCTAAATGCTAGGTCTTCATCCCTATTGGAATTTGTATGTTAGTGGGAGAGAAAAATAATAAACTAATAAATCTGATATAATGTCAAGTATGTATAACTTTGTTGATGAAACACAAAGCGGGTTAAGGGGTTAGAGAGTGACCAGGGATGCTGTTTGTATTAGGTTGATCAGAAAAGGCCTCTTTGAGGAGATGCCATTTGAGCAGAGACCTGAATATATACTGTGGAAGTTAACCTTATAACCCAGAAGAATACAGTTCAAGGCAGAAGAACAGTTGCAGTGATCCTAATGCTTGGCCTGTTCAAGGAATAGCAAGGAGGCCATTGTTGGCTGGAGCACAGTGAATGAGAAAAGCAATAGGGAAGGGAGATTGGAGACAGAGATGGAAACTCCAGAGTATGTTGAACCTTGTAATCCATGATAAGAAATGTTTTTTGTTCTTGATGTATGGGAAGCCATTGGAGAATTTTAAGCAGGGCAATGTCATCTGTGTTTATAAAAGACCTCATTTCTCTATGGTAAGTTGACTATAAAGAGATAAGAATAGAAGGAGGGAACCAGTTTCAAGAGTGGAAGGATTCTAATCAAGAAACAGTTGTAGTTTGGACTGGATAGTAGCAGTGGTGGCAATAACAAGAGGCTAAATAATAGATTTATTTTTTAGATTGAACCACTAGTACTTGCGGAATTATTTGGTGTGGGTTATGAAAGAGGAGGCAAGGATGACTCCTAGGTATTGGGGCTGAGCATTTGAGGAAATAGGAGCTGCTATTTACATTTTGGCAGTGTTAAGCATATCCAAGTGGTTATATGCCTGTTGGCAATTGAATATGCAAGTCTGGAATTCAAGAGTTAGTTTACAAATACAACATTGGGAGTTGCTGAGACCAGCTTGGTCGGGGAGACCCTAACCCAGTGGCGCTAGAGGAATTAAAGACACACACACAGAAATATAGAGGTGCCTGAAGTGGGAAATCAGGGATCTCACAGCCTTCAGAGCTGAGAGCCCTGAACAGAGATTTACCCACATATTTATTAAGAGCAAACCAGTCATTAGCATTGTTTCTATGGATATTAAATTAACTAAAAGTATCCCTTATGGGAAACGAAGGGATGGGCTGAATTAAAGGAATAGGTTAGGCTAGTTAACTGCAGCAGGAACATGCCCTTAAGGCACAGATCGGTCATGCTGTTGTTTGTGGCTTAAGAATGCCTTTAAGCGGTTTTCCGCCCTGGGCGGGCCAGGTGTTCCTTGCCATCATTCCCATAAGCCCACAACCTCCCAGCGCAGGTGTTAGGGCCGTTATGAACATGTTACAGTGCTGCAGAGATTTTGTTTATGGCCAGATTTTGCCGGGGGGGGGGGGGGGGGGGGGGGGGGGGGGGCGGGGCGCGGCTTGCTCCCAGCAGGGAGTAATCACTTTGCATATGGTATTTAAAGTAATGGGGATAGGAACAGATAGAGACTAGAAGACAATTGAGTCATAGAGCACTCCAACATTTAGAGTTTGGGATCGGGAGAAGAGCCAGCAAAGGAGACTGAGCAGGAGCTGCCAGCGAAAGAAAAGAAACACCAAAATAATGAGGTATTTTGGAAGACAATTGAAGAAATGTTTTAAGGAGACTGTGATTAATTGGGTCTAATGCTCCTGAAAGGCCAAAGGAGATAAAGACAGAGAAATAACATTAGATGGAGTTGTTGAGTGATCTTGTTGAGAAGTTTCAGAGGAGCAGTGGTGGAGATAAGCTAATTCAAAAGAATTAGAGTTTAGCAGAGACCAAGCACAGACAACTGTTTCAACATTTTGCTTTGAGAGATTCCAAGAAATAGGACAGCATTTAAGGGGAATATGGGAGCCAGGAGATTTTGACTTTAACATTTTTTTATATACACCTTTCTACTAAACTCCATGAGTTGACTAATTTTTGTCTGTTTAGTTCACCAATGTATGTTCAGCTCTTAGAACAGTGCCTTGCATGTAGTAGATGCTCAGTAAGTATTTACTGAATTGATAGGAGAGGGAGAAATTGATGTAGGAAAGCAGGATAATTTTAAGAACAAAGAACTTCGAATAGGAGAAAGGAATGAGATTCAATACACAGTAAAATAGTTTAGGAGTCAGGTAGGGACGACTGAGGATAGGTCAGATGCATGTAAGTGGGTAGATGGGTGGGACAAGTATGTAGAAGTTCTCTTTGCTTCTATTTTTATGTGTGTGAAATGGGAAGCAAGTTTACCTATTTCTCATTTCTTTCACTGGCCTAAATGAATTCAATTCAATAAGAAGAATAAAAATTAACATTTTTGAGTGCTTATGCAGCAAAGCACTGTTCTATACTGCTTTACCTATCTTAACTCACTTAAACCTTACAGTAACCCTAGGAGGTAGGTACTATGATGATCTTTTCTTCAGTTTCCATTTCTTCAGCTTCCATCCCCTTAATCATTTTTCTTCTTGGAACCTTACCATATTACCTTTAAAAGAACAAAGTTCAGCCCAAATTACCATGCAACCCAGCAATTCCACTCCTAGGTATCCACCCAAAAGAATGAAAACATCTCTAGACAAAAACTTGTTAAGAAATTTTGTAACACCATTACTCACAATAGCCAAAAAGTAGAAACAATCCGTATTTCTATTAACTAACAGAAGTATAAAATGTGATGTATTCATACAGTGGAGCCCTATGTAGCAAAAAAGGGGAACAAGCCATTGATATGTGCTGCAGTATAGAAGAACCTTCAAAACATTATGCTAAGTGAAAGAAGCCAGACGCGAAAGACCACATGTGTATGACTTTCTATGAAATGTCCAGAAAACTGTATAGACCAAAAGTAGATTAATAGTTACCTGGAGTTAAGAGTGAGATGAGGATTGGCTGGAAATGGGCCTAATGGGTGACAAAAATGTTCGAAAATTGAATTGTAGCGATAGTTGCACAATTATGCAAATTTACTAAAAATCATTGACTTGTGCATTTAAAATGGGTAAATTTTATGCCCTCTAAGTCCTACTTCAATGAAGCTGTTAAAATGCTTTTAAAAAGAGAGACAACTAAGGAAAAAAGATAGAAAGATACACACATACACATGTACACTCTAGTCAAGAAACTTGAACATAACTAGGTATTTTCTAGCTTTCGTAGCGTCTTTATATATTATTCTTTATATTAAAGAGTTTTGTGAGGAACTAAGAGCATATAATTAAGATCAAAAAGCCCTGGTCTCATATTCAAGCTCCCCAATTTACTTATCACATGCCTTTAGTCAAGTTTCTTCTTCCTTCAAGTATCAGTTCCTCATCTGTACACGATAATAATATTTTCTGTCTCACTGAAATATCATGGTAGAGGATGTAAAGCCAACCAATCTATGACTATAAGGAAATTTAAGAGTTTCCTCAAAATTAGTAGTACTAGTATTGATATTTAAAAAAAAAATTCATTGTACAAAGTGCTGACTAGTATAAAAAAATCGGAAGTGGATGAATATTCTCCTTATGTTGTGCTAAATAAGCTCATTTTTAAATACTTTTTAAAGGTTGACTCCTTGATATATTTTTACAGTATTAGATTATGACTAAAAACGTTGGTGGCTTTCAAAGGTAACCACATTATTATTGAATTTGTTTTCTTCTTCCATTCAGAATCTAAAAAGTAACTTGTACTTCTATTTTGTATAGCCCAGATTTTAGTACAGTTTTGAATACCTGTTTAAACCGAGGTTTTAGTAGACTTCTAGACAATATGGCTGAGTTCTTTCGACCTACTGAACAGGACCTGCAACATGGTAACTCTATGAATAGGTAAGATGACGTATAAAAATGTTATACTAATGAATGCTCTAAAAAAATGGTGCTTTGCCTTTTTGTTCCAGATAACAACAAACCTAGTAAATTCG